TCTATATCTATCTATCTACCTACCTACCTACCTACCTACCTACCTACCTACCTACCTACCTACCTATCCAGAGTCCATGTAATTATAAGTAAAACTTCCATGGAGGTATGGCAGTGGCCTCATAACTGGGGGTGGAATTCAGTTATCCAGGTGATTGCCTCTAGCGTTGCTTCATGCAGATCTTCTAGGGAACCAGAGAACACACCTCGTGTGCAATTTCCCACAATATAGCAACAGCACTTATACTTATATACCGCTTTACAGCTCTCTCTAAGCAGTTCACGGAGTCAGCATATTGGCCCCAACAATCTGGGTCCTCATTTTACCAATCTCAAAATGATGGAAGGCTGAGTCAACCTTGAGCCTGGTGAGATTCGAACTGCCAAATTGCAGGCAGCTGGCAGTCAGCAGAAGTATCCTGCAGTACCACATTCTAACCACTGCACCATCATGGCTCTTTACCTTTGACCTCTGTTTGCAGGAATCAGAGCACCCCACACCATAGCGCTGTCCTGGAGGTTGTCTCAACCTTGAGCCTGGTGAGATTCAAACTGCCAAATTGCAGGCAGCTGGCAGTCAGTAGAAATAGCCTGTAACACTGCACTCTAACCACTGTGCCATTGCGTGTGTTGCACATATCAGCACCACAATCGCAACAGGAGTTATCTTTCCATCTCCATTGATACAGGGCACAGACACTTCTTCCAGTATCACACCTAATTCTGTTCAATTTCAATTTCAAAGTGAGACAGGTCAAACCCTATAAAGCTATTCAAGCAGAGTTGCCGATGGATAAATGGTTCCAAGAGAATCAGAATACTCTTAGCTGTAGAGATGGTTTAGCTTAGAAGGAGAATAAGATCAATGTCCCTAAATCCCTCAGGTTGGAGGTACTAAGACATTGCCATGATGCCCAGACAGCCGGTCATTTTGGTTTCCTCAAAACCTTGCACTTAAGAAACCACCATTTCTGATGGCCTCGGTGTAAAAAGGACATAGAGGACTATGTACACAGTTGCGTGATGTGTACTACTATGAAGAAACAGCCAGGGAAGCCTTCTGGTCTGTTGCAACCAGTGGCAACACCTGAATGATCATGGGAGGAGATAGGCATGGATTTTATAGTAGATTTGCCAGAGAGCCAGGGCAATACAGTCATATGGACAGTTATCAACATATTCAAAGCAAGTCCATTCAGTTCAGGCTTACCACCCACCAGGAAGCTGGCAAAGCTCTTTATAACCCATGTCTATCGCCTCCATGGAATATCACGAAGGATTCTGACCACAGAGTACAATTTACTACAAAATTTTGGTGACGGTTTCTGGCTATGGTGGGGTCGTCACAGGGGTTCCATTCGGCATTCCATCCTGCTACCAACAGAGCTGCCGAAAGAACCAATGCTATGGTGGAGCAGTATATCCACTGCTTTGTTGGTTACCAACAATCTGATTGAGCCGAACTGCTCCCCTTTGCTGAGGTGATATATAACAACACTATTCACCAAAGCAAGGGGTTTACCCCATACAAAATAGTTACAGGTAATGATTTTGTTTTGATTCCTGAATGCCCATGACAAACCCTGATGATGTTGGAACTGCAGAATTGATTAACGCGGATGTAAATCGTGTGGGGAAAAGTCAGGGAAGCCTTATGTAAGTCAGCCTGACGATATAAATATCAGGCCAATAAAAAAAGAAAGCAGCAACCTAACTGCCAGGTGGGACAAAAAGTCTACTTATCTACCAAGTATTTAAGATTAAAGGTTCCTTGTAAGAAGCTGGTACCAAAATACATTGGCTCATTTCCAACAGTAAGGATTATAAACCCAGTCACCATCTGTTTACAACTCCCACCATTATTAGGAAAGACATAGCTTGTTTTCCACAGTAGTGTTCTCTGTCCAGTTTGAACCTCTCAGCTGAGAGAACCCTGTCCTGATCCACCCCCTCCCATGGATGTAGGGCGGAAGCAACATTTTGAGATAGAAGATATCCTAGATGCGTGGAGAAACCATGGCTGCTTACAATACCTGGGGCTATGGAAAGGATATCCATTTTTGGAGGCATCATGGGTGTTACAGTGAGGATGTAAACGCAGGTTGATTGATCACCAAATTCCACCAGAAGAACCTGACCAGACCGGGGGGGGGGAATCCAGTGATGTGAACCTATCTCATTGTATATGCTCTTTTCCAGATGCGGTCTCCATGCTAGGGGGACAGCATGTCAGCCGGCTGCGCCCTGCAGCTCAGGGCTCCCATTCAGCCAGAAGGGGTGATTGCTCTCCTTACCCATTGCTGCTGAGAGGAGGGGGTCGAGTAGTTATGCCAAGCATCTGCTACACAGCTGATAGCGGGAACTGATGTTTGGGATTGGAGCAGGCGCAATAGGGTGTGCTTAGCGTCTGTGCACGGAACAAGCCAACTTTCATTATGGACATGCAGAACTTGGGGGGAGGTGTCTGGGTGGTGGGGAGGAGCCGTGGGAACCCTTAAAAGGTAGAGGGGAGCACAGAGCGGAAGCTCTGAATTCAAGTCATTCTAGTATTTCTCTGGGTAATGGTTGGAATGTGCCGGTGTGTCTGGGATAGAACTATCTTACACTTTGATCTGTGTGTTTCGTTGTTTATTCCTTGTTCACCAAACTGGAACCTGACATCAAATTTCAAGTTGATACCAAAGTAGCACCACAAAAAATGGCTAGGTTTACACAGCATGTTAAGCCATAATATGGCTTCATTGTTTTGGTTTATAGCTATGTGGGAACCAAGCAAATGTTGGGCTTTTTAAATAAGCCTTACCTTCATTCAGTATGTGAACCCAGCAATGATTCATCATACTTGAATTTTGACATTCATTTTCATTTAATATAAAAGAATTGCTCAGAGTGCAAATGTACTAATATTGGAATGACCTGAAGTTCTGTTTCATGATCTGAAATTTTGCTAGGTATTTTACTCCTGAAGATCACAAGTCCAGAGAAAACAAATCCAACTTAAAGGGTTAAGAATGTGCTCAAGTCCAACGCCTAAAAATAATCCCATTTGCATGTATTAAGTTTAATGACACATTGGGGATAGAGCCCCCAATCAGAATACACAGTAACAGGCTTCACCGCTGTTACACTGCTTACTGGAATGCATACCACCTCAGGAAACATGGTCTCCTTGCTAATTTATATGAAATTAATTCATTCCAGAAGACCTTTTCTGGCATGGGCCCCGCCCTCTGGAACATCCTCTTCCTCAAGGTGAGATCTACCCCACATCCTCTTGGCCTCCATAACAGGCTAAAATCCTAGTTCTTCTGACTGGCCAAGGGACATTCCATTTTGGAGATGGTTTTTTGAGTAGGAAGATCCCTTTCTACCCCATAGTATTCTATTTTTAAAACTTATTTTTTAGTTTAATATTTAAATGTTCCATATTTGTTTTTATTATGTTTGTAAGCCACCCAAAGTCACTTGATAGTGAGTTGTGTGGCATATAAATTAAAGGCGTCTATGTGTGTATGACAAGAAATCCTAATTTTGCTCCTCATCTATCCTAAAGTTTACTATGAAACTTTTGTTAAGATCTCAATAATATAGATCTGATGTCCAAGTAACACACCGCAGCTATAGAGAATTGTATTTTATTTTAGTTTGGAAAGAGTACATGTAAGAGACTAGACAAATTGACTTTTACAGACATAGAGAAAAAATATATTTGAAGTTTTATCAACAATGATCTTGAATGATAAGTAAAACCTAAAAATTATTTACCGGAATTTATTCATTACAAGTTTGGCTTCTACAACCCAAAAACACAGAATATGCAAAATGTTCTGATCCCCAACAAGCAAAATTCCAAGCATTTAGTTGTAAATGTTCAGAAGACCCTTATAAATTAGTTTTCTTCTGAGAGAGATTGATCTTGTCACCAAGACTTAGCGCCATTCCCTGTAAGGAACAGAATGACAATTTAAATAATCATTTCAATATTCATTAATTCAGTAAGGAAAATATCCCCCCTTCCCCCAAGTGTGCATCAGCATGACTCTTGAGAAGATTTTTAGGAAATTTGGAGAGTTTTATGAGAAAACTCTCAAATAATTAAATCGTAGTTAATTCTCCAGTTCAGTGCTGAACACATTTTCTCCTAGTTTCTCTTACAACTATAGCTCAGAAAAACTTTGGGTAATGCCTTTTAGTCAGTTAACCTTTAGTTACAATCTTAAAATTTATCATTTCATAGCAACCTCTCCATTTGATGCTATAATAAATCAAAATCCATTTAGATCATCCCATAAATGATGCAAAAGGCGGCTTCCTAATCACGAGGGATAGCATCCAATCACAATATTCTCCTTTCTCCAGAGCTTTCTGGATTATGACTGTGCATACTGAACAAGATGAAAATCTTATAATTGAAAACACGTCTCACTGATTATGTGTTTTTTTGTCAGAATGAATTTAAATCTAATTTTATTACATTCTGATTCAGGATAATGTGCTACATCAGTCAATATACAGTAATCAGATTAATCATTCGAGTAATGATAAACAGCAAATTAAGAGCAAATATTTCACCAATGTAAAATGTTCCCAAATTTAAGGAGACAGCTGCATAATTACCTGACTTTTTGCCCGAATTCTTATGTGTCCCGTGACTGGAGCATCAGGTCCAAGATGAATTGGCTTTTCAATGCTGACATTAGCAAGTGCGTCTTCTCCAAATATGGAGCGTGCATACAGGTTGGCAGCCATAAAGCCACAATAACCTGAAAGTGCCTAGAAAACAGTATTTGATGCAATGTTTATAAAAATATATTTTCCCCTTGAAGCTCTTAATAACTGAGCAGATCTGTGACTTAATGCTTTATCTTTTTCTCATTACATTAGGTTTAGGTTTATTAGATTTATATGCCGCCATTCTCCCAAGGACTCAGGGCGGCGTACAACATTAAAAGAAACACAT